GTGAGTGCAGATTTTTTCCTTTCTTCTGCTCTACCCCCCATTCTTTTCCAGTTAATATCTTGATTTGCAGTACTTTTTCTGTTGTGGTTATTTTATTCAAAGAATATACGGTTAGAGGGTAGTTGGAGATTTTGTCCAGATCATACATCAGGGGTCCCCTCCCATTCCACTTCCTCAGAAATGAGACTTTCTCACCCAGACTGGCCAGGTCCCATGCCACATACTGATTTTAAAAGCAACTGGTATTGAAAAATTCAGCACTCTTACAGTTTTATGGTTCTATATCTAAGATTCTGTATCTATATCTGTACAGACAGCACTTAGTATAGTAGGTGCCTAGAATACATTTGAATGAATGAAGCCATTCCAGGATGTGTTTGGATAAAAATTCATAAGTTATAATTTTGGAAATCATGTTTTAAATGTAACTTTCTGTTTTCATATCATTCTCAATGTGTATAATTCCATGCAAAGGGATCAGCGTCTCATCAGACCCAAGACAACTGGAGTCCAGAAATGTGACTTTGTTATAGTCCAAATTTTTAAAATAATGTAATGATCAGATATGTATAATTTTAACTGTGATGGAGAAACTTAACACCAAATTAATTCCAAACTTTTACCCTGGGTCATCCCTTTAAGGGGGAAAGTAATGTTAAAATTCCAGACAGAACTGGAGTGGACTCACAGGGCAGCTTATCTGAGCCTGTCATTTTGTCCATGCAAACCCCAGAGGCCTAGAGACATGAAGTGACTTTTGAGAGATTACACAGCTACTAAGAGTCAGAACCAAGTTCAAAACCCTGTTCTTCGGACTTACCTTTAATTTTCTCTGCCCTGTTTCACAAAATAGTTTATGGCATACTGGGCATCTGGAAATGGGATGGAATACTGAAATATACAGGAGTTAACTGTCTTGATGTCTCCAAGGCAAATATGACAGCAGTGGGCCCCAGACCCTCAAGTGGCGTCTCCATGGGCAAACAAGTAGGCTGTGTTTCCTTGTGGTTGAGAGTCATGCCTGATCTGGAATTGCTCTCACCATCTGCACACAGGATGATTAGATGGGAACAAAACTACTTTTCATGTTCTTTACGAAAGATAATCTGTGAGAATAGTTTTTTTTTTTTTCTAATTCCTTTGTTTTGTGAACCTCAGCCTTCTGGTCTTTGAATATACGGTGAGAACACAGGAGGAAAAAACTCAGCAGCAATACTGAACAATCTCTCAGGGAAAATTGGAGGGCACAGATGATCAGGGAAGGCATGATATCAAGGGAAGGGACTGTTAAATGACGAAGTCACCATGGTTGTTTGGAAAACAGGTCTCGAGGGTGAAACCCTGCCCTGCTGCAGGGCTGGCCTCACGCCATGCTGTGTAACGTGATGTGACCCCAGACCGTGAATCCACCATTTTACACAGTTTCCATCTTAACAGGAGGTTTCCTCTGTATGTTTGGAAAGTAACCACAGCAAACTAGCAAATCAGGGAGAAACGACATGGTAGAACCGAGATCTAGAGAGGTGAGAGTACAGGAAAGAGTTCATGCAGCCAGCCTGAGACTGCTGTCCTTAGAGAGGCCTGCTTACAGGCCTGGCCCCAGGCTGGTGTCTAGAAATGTGGATTTGGGGAGGGCCCCCACCATTCCCAACAAGTGGGATGAGAGTGGCTCACTGTGTCAAACTGCACAGCACAATGTGGTTTATGCTGGATACCTGCTGACCTCTCTGCCAGTTGTTTAAGTCCCTAAAGCCTGTTTCCACCTGGACTGGCTGCCTTCACTGCCTCTTGGAAACCCATCATCCTGACATCTCTTTGTCATACTGTGTCTTTGCTTCACCTTTCTCGGCAGGTGCATCTGCTGTTTCTTGGAGACCAGGCCTTTTCTTTCCTGGTTCATTCATTCATTCATTTGTTCGTTTGTTCGTTTATTTAATTTTAAAAATTATTTTTATTTGTTATTATTATTTTTTGAGGCGGGACCTCACTCTGGTACCCAGGTGGGAGTGCAGTGGCATGATCATTGCTCACTGCAGCCTTAACTTCCTGGGCTCAAATAATTGTTCCACCTCGGCCCCCCAAGTAGCTGGGACTAGAGGTGCATGCCACCATGTGCGGGTAATGTCTGTATTTTTTGTGCAGATGGGGTTTTGCCATGTTGTCTAGGCTGGTCTCAGGCTGATTTTTTTTGAGTCTCTGATTCAATCTACTTGTTAGAGGTCACTAATTCAATTTCTCTGCTTGTTAGGGGTCTATTCAGATTTTCTGTTTCCTTTTGAAGCAGTTTTGGTAGCTTGGGTCTCTAGGAATTTAGTCATTTTATCTTGGTTATTTAATTGTTGGCATATAATTGTTCATAGAATTCCCCTGTAATCCTTTTTATTTGTACATGCTCAGCAGTGATGCCTTCCCTTTCAAGGTTTTTATTTGATTAATTTGAGCCTTTGCCCCTCTGGTCATTCTAGTTAAGGTTTGTCAATTTTTGTCTTTTCAAAGAACTAACTTCTGGTTTCATTGATTTTTCTCTTTTTCCTGTTGTATATATTTCGCTTATTTCACTCTAATCTTTACTTTTGATTGGTTTGATGTACTTGTCTTTTTGCAGTTTTTTAAGATGGTTATTGATTTGAGATCTTGTTTTAATGTAGACATTTACACCTATGAATTTCTAAGTACTGCTTTAGCTGTATTCCATAAGTTTTGATATGTTAATGTTTTCATATATCTCAAAGATTTTCTAATTCCTTTTTGTTTTCATTTTTGAGTTGTTACTTAGAAGTGTTTATTTGATTTCTACATTTTTTGATTTCTCATTTCTTTTTGTTATTAATTTGTGATTTTATCCTATTGTAGTTAGAAAACATAATTTGTATGGTTTCAGTCATTTGAAATTATTTTCTTTAAATTAAAAACATTTTTTTGAGACAGAGTCTCACTCTCTTGTCCAGGCTGGAGTGGAGTGGTACAATCTTAGCTCACGGCAACCTCTGCCTCCTGGGTTCAAGCGATTCTCGTGCCTCAGCCTCCGAAGTAGCTGGAATTACAGATGTACACCACTACACCCAGCTAGTTTTTCTGATTTTAGTAGAGATGAGGTTTTGCCACATTGCCCAACATGGTCTCGAACTTCTGCCCTCATGTAATCTCTCTGCCTCAGACTCCCCAAGTACTGGGTTTACAGGTGTAATCCACCATGCCCGGCTTGAAATTTATTGAGGCTTATTTTTGTGGCCTGGCATGTGGACACCTGGATAATGTTCCATGTATGCTTGGAAAGAATCTGTAAGCCAGGCCCAGTGGCTCATGCGTGTGATGCCATCCCTTTGGGAGGCTGAGACAGGATTGCTTGAGCCCAGGATTTCAAGACCAGCCTTGGCAATGTGAGACCCCATTTCTACAAAAGTATAAAAAAATTAGTTGGGTGTGGTAGCGTGTGCCTGTGGTCCTAGCTAGCTACATGAGACGCTGAGGCAGGAGAATCTCTCCAGCTTGGGAGGTTGAGGTTGCAGTAAGCTGAGATTGTGCCATTGCACTCCAGCTTGGGTGACAGAGAGACCCTGTCTCAAAAAAGAAGAGTCTGTATTCTGATATTGTTTGTTTGAATATCTTATAGATGTTTGTTCTAGTTGGATTATAGTGTTATTGAAGTCTTTTATTGTTGATCCTCTTTCTGGTTTTTAAAATCCATTAAGGAATGTACATATTGAAGTTTCCAATTAATACTGGTGAATTATCTATTTCTGAGGTCGTCACTTTTTGCTTCCTGTATTTTGGGCTCTGTTCTTAGATGCATATATGTTCATAATTGTTACTATTGTAACAATTATTTACATTAGGTATATCTCTTAATGCTATTCCTCCCCCCTCCACCCTCCCCACAATAGGCCCCGGTGTGTGATGTTCCCCTTCTTCTGTCCAAGTGTTCTCATTGTTCAATTCCCACCTATGAGTGGGAACATGCGGTGTTTGGTTTTCTGTTCTTGCGATAGTTTGCCGAGAATGATGGTTTCCAGCTGCATCCATGTCCCTACAAAGGACATGAACTCATTCTTTTTTATGGCTGCATAGTATTCCATGGTGTATATGTGCCACATTTTCTTAACCCAGTCTGTCACTGATGGACATTTGCGTTGATTCCAAGTCTTTGCTGTTGTGAATAGTGCTGCAATAAACATACGTGTGTGCATGTGTCTTTATAGCAGCATGATTTATAATCCTTTGGGTATATACCCAGTAATGGGATCGCTGGGTCAAATGGTACTTCTAGTTCTAGATCCTTGAGGAATCGCCATACTGTTTTCCACAATGGTTGAACCAGTTTACAGTCCCACCAACAGCGTAAAAGTGTTCCTTTTTCTCCACATCCTCTCCAGCACCTATTGTTTCCTGATTTTTTAATGATTGCCATTCTAACTGGTGTGAGATGGTATCTCATTGTGGTTTTGATTTGCATTTCTCTGATGGCGAGTGATGATGAGCATTTTTTCGTGTGTCTGTTGGCTGTATGAATGTCTTCTTTTGAGAACTGTCTGTTCATATCCTTTGCCCACTTTTTGATGGGGTTGTTTGTTTTTTTCTGGTAAATTTGTTTGAGTTCTTTGTAGGTTCTGGGTATTAGCCCTTTGTCAGATGAGTAGATTGCAAAAATTTTCTCCCATTCTGTAGGTTGCCTGTTCACTCTGATGGTAGTTTCTTTTGCTGTGCAGAAGTTCTTTAGTTTAATGAGATCCCATTTGTCAATTCTGGCTTTTGTTGCCGTTGCTTTTGGTGTTTTAGACATGAAGTCCTTGCCCATGCCTATGTCCTGAATGGTATTACCTAGGTTTTCTTCTAGGATTTTTATGGTTTTAGGTCTAACATTTAAGTCTCTAATCCATCTTGAATTAATTTTCATATAAGGAGTAAGGAAAGGATCCAGTTTCAGCTTTCTACTTATGGCTAGCCAATTTTCCCAGCACCATTTATTAAATAGGGAATCCTTTCCCCATTTCTTGTTTTTG